CACCTGTATTACTTAACTAGGTAACATAGTACTATTACCAGGTTTCTTGTTAGGCCGAGTGGAAAATATTGTTAGTGAGCTCCCGTGTTACAAATCAATACTCGTCAACGCATCTATGGCAACATTATCTTATTCTGTATTATTGCCTTTTTTTTTTTCATTTTTCAGACCTTTATTTTCCTATCCTATTTTACTGTTAAAAACGAATAAATCGTTATTACGGAGGGAAATAAATTCGAAATTAGAATCTAATATTGTCCTCTCAGCAAAAATATTACTACAATGTTATTATTAATATTTTGCTAATAATTATTGTTAAACACAGAATAATTGATACTATTTATCAGCCATTAGCTTTTAATTTAGAACTAAACTATCCAATAGATCATTAATTAATTATTATAAACTAGAAATAATTTCCAAAATTAAATTGTATAATCTGTTATTATATTTAAACAATATAATATAAAGTGTGAACTAATTGTACTCAATTGTAATCTACAAAATTTGTTGGAAATAAAACGTATTTAATGTCTTGATACGTTATTCAAATAAAAATTTTCAATTGTTTTTAATGAGTATAAAGTTTTAATTAATGTTGTATTAAAAGCCAAAATTGGTTAAGGTATGGTAATATATTAAAATTGCTTTTATCTCATTAGATACTTTCCATCTTTACAATCGATCAAAGGAAAAGAGTGATTTAATAATAATTTAAAGTTATGACGACTTTTAATCATTTATTGTAAACATGTATTTATTCCCGAATAAGTAATAAAACAAAATTTAGTAAAATATGCTAATTTATAGACACTACATTAAATTATTTAATTTCAATACTTAATCGTAAATCTGAAAAATGTAGTGAAAATATACTATAAATCATCGTTGTATTTATTTACTATAGTTTAATTTTAGCTTATATAATTTTCGTATTTTATATTAATGTGTTAAATAATTTTTCTTACCATATTCAGTAAGAATTATTGTATATTTTAATAATTATCAAATACAAATTTTAATAAAAATAATTTTGCGAGTTCTGTTGAACGAATTACATACTTATTAAAACTAAGACATGTTTAAATAAATGTAAAACGTACCTCTAAGTATTATAATTCTTGCAAACCTTTCTTTTAAAACACAACATTTAAAATCTCATTACTCATTAACAATAGATTAAAATCTAATAAAATTATTAGTTCCTTAGTATAAATATAATTTTATATTCATATAGATAATATATTGATTTAGTCTACTCTTAAAATGTGTACCATTTTGGATTAAATGTTCGAATATAAGACGGATAAGTCAAAATTTCACGTATTTATTTTGTTTAGAACATAAAAATGTTATCAAGATATGTCTAAAAACAAATCGCAACTAATACAGTTTAATTTATATATATATTACGTAGTATAAACTTGAAATTAAAATATTATTTAGTTAAATTTAAATACTTTTTAGACGAAATAAAACTAAAACGATGGTACCTAGCTTATATAAGTTAATTTCATATAAATCTAACACATTGAACATGGTTATTTATTTGTTTTTTGTTGAAAAATTAGTAATTACTAATTAAATTATGTATATTTGTTATTCTGTTAATTATTTGTTTTAGTAAAACGCATACTAATATATAACATTTTTTTAATTTTCATGATAATATTATAGTTCATAATATAGTACACAAGTCAAATATGATTATGTTCATTATCAGAATCTTATTTTTAATATATTTAAGTTTCAAGATTGTTTATGTAATTTAATTAGAAATATTTTATTTGTGTAGTATATTATGTATTACAATTAATGACATAGTATTAAAACATAATTTAGTTATAATTTATAATTACCTATAATTTATTGATAAGAACTTAAAGAGATTTTAATAAACTCATATTTTTATTTTTTATTTGTTTTATTAATGCTAATTACTAATTAAGTCTCATACCTGAACGAGGAAAAAATATTATACTTATTGAGTCCCTCAGTATAAAAGAAAAATATGCCAATTGAGTTTGTGATTAGATAACTAAAAATATACTAATTGATATTTTTAATTTATTTTGTATTATATTGAGCATTTTAATAGTTTTGATTGAAATGGGAGTACCTACCTATACTGTTAAATATTGAATCAATACATTAGCTAAACCTAACCGAATAAAATTATCATAATTAAAGCTAACTAAATTAGAGAAATATACAGTTGTTATGTTTGTTACAAATAAAAAAAATATCGAGATTTGAATAAATACAAATTATTGCCTATACCTAGTTCTTAACAGGTGTAAGATACTAAATATATTTATTAATTATTTCTAACGACCTAATAGTAAAGAATATTACACACATTTATCAAACTTATCAAATATTTCTAAATTAACAAAAATATAAAAAACTTTTTAATCTTGCAGGAATAATTTGAATTACAAAAATCTTAAAATAGTAAAACGGGGAATCAAATTCAAAGTTTAACAAAACTTAGTAATAAAACCTGATGTGTACACAAAATTTTTTGTGAAGAGTTTAAAGTTGTACATTTTCATACTTACAATGTAACAAGAAGTTCATTGACAAAAGTAATAATTAATAATTTTCTTAAAATGTTGGAGGGAGATTGAATTTTAATTTTTTTTTTTTTTTACCTTGAATATATCTGATTAAAATATATGGTCTCAATTGGTACCAGTTATGTTTTAAGTTTTATGAGACTCATTTAGTATATTGTATCTAAAACAAAACTCCGTTATTCAATTTGTTCTAAAGGATTTCTTTTGTCAGCTAGTTTTATTAGGTACCAACACTTTTTAAAGATTAAAAATTATTGGTTACATTTTGAAGTTTAACTTTTTATTTTAGAGCATATGAGTAGAATGTCGATATAAACGAAAGAAATTCTATTTATTCTTGGAAATGTTTTATACATGATAGATATTAAAACTCGAATACTTAGTTTTATGAGTACTAAAAAATTAGTTAAATAATAAATTAACTCCAGTGCTACGTATTACAATTAGTGTGTAAACTAAATCTTACGTAATTTATAAATTCTCGTAAATTATGTGTTTATCTGTTGTAGGTAGTGACTATAGGATTTCGTTTAAAATTCATTACTTTAGTTAAAGAAAAACGGTTTACGTATTTTGTGCATACTCATTTTATTTTATTATTACTTGTAAAAATATAACTTATTTTTTATAATTTAATACTTTTTTGTTACAATGGATTTTTTTTTAAATATTTTACAAGTAATTTCATCAAATTAGTTAATAATAAATATCAATCAACACAACTAATACTTTAATAATATACCTAATTATTGTACAAGTTACAAGTAGGTACGTTTACTATTAGTGATGCATGATAAAATATATTCAAGAAAAATACTGAAAATTACATAGGTTATATAACAAGTCTAAATAAATGATAATATTTAGTAATATAAAGTTTATATATCATTATATTTTATGATATTGAGTTACATTTTATCGATGAGTTTTATTCTCATTAAGAATTTAAGCAGTTTAAGATGTTGTTCGGCTAAGACTTAGAGATTCCCAATTCGTATCTCTCACTTTCATACGTTTTACAACATTAGATTTATATGGATTCATTTTTTATAATTGTGAGTTTTAAATACTGTAAACAATGAATTGCTTTATGGTTATAAAGAATATTAAACTTTTTTTTAAAGAAAATTCATATTTGTATAATTAATTTGAAGTCCTGTATGCAGGTACTTTGATTATATTTTGTTAGGTTTATTAAGTATTAAGAAATAAATTTCAAATATATATTTAATAAATAAATTAAAATAAATGTTCTATTATATATCTAGAAAATTTTTAGTACCTACAATTTATTTTAAACACGTTGTCTATCTCATTCATAATTTCATGTTGGTATAGTCGTATAATTATTTGTTAAACAATTTTTTTTATCTTATTATTAGTCATTAGATTATCGTTTATACATACATACCTACTATATATACCTACGTACTATATACAGTGTCACATCATATTTATACTAGTCAGTTACGTCTTCTAACTTATTTTTACCATCTAATTATTACTTATGCTCATTATTTGTACTTAAAAAATAAAAATTATTATATATTATATTAATAATAATTTGTAAAAATAAGTTTAAAAAAAATTTATTAATTACTGTTAATATCGTGTGTCACTCTGTATATACAAATTTAACCATTACATATCAAGCAAGTTATATTTTATGATGGCTATTCAAAATTTATTTTTAATGACTCACGTTTATCTAACTAATACAATTTATTAACCTATATGACTGCTACATAATTGAATTTTGTATTGTTTGGTAATTTGCATTATTACTTAATTGTTGGGTAGCATTTTAACGAGATGCTCGATTATTGTTTGTTACTATCTTGAATGGGCAAAAACTTATATTGTACTAAATTTACGTTTGGATTCGACTTGATAGAATATTTAATTTTCTTGTTATTACTATTACTATTTTTAATCTTTAAAATTAAATTACTACCTATGTTCTTTCGTTTTTTTTTTTTAGATACTTTTATTACAACGTAAGGTACATTTTTAAACTGTATCCCTGTATATACTATATAGTGTTTAATAAAATCTAAAATATACTTCAATTTGGTTGATTGTCAAAGATATTTTTTTTGTTTATTATTTAATTTTTAAAATCGTGTAATATTCGTTGATTAGTTACTAACAATTTATACAATATTTCTTATGTTTATCGTTTATTGTTCCTTAAAACTAACAGTTAATGTGTAAAAGATAGGGGAATGCTTTGCATCTATATATTTAATTCCTTATTTTATCACTAATTTTTTTTCGTACCTTTACGTATTCAGCCATAAACCATTATGGTGACCGTATTTATTAGTAAACAAGATGTGTTTTCCTAATTAACAGAACTTTAATTTGCTCATGGCGAATAAACTTCAACTTCCAGCATTTGAAAATATGTGTTTTTTTTCAGTTGTGGACAAACGGTACATATTTGTTGATGAGTATCACGTTTAAGTTTGATCGAGATTTGACTACACAGAATATATACTTGTGCACATATGAGCCGCGAAAACCTAACGGACTTGCCTCGTCATTGTGGGATGTGTTCAGTGGTTCGAGTGACAACAGTGATGGTCGATGGGTGAACCAGGGTGATTCGGTAGCAATTAGATCTGACGAAATGGCACAGTCCACAGAAAATTCATTGGATCCATCGCCAAGCAGGTAAGAAACTTTGAATATTGAGAAAACTTTACTTAGAAATAAAGTTAGTGCAGCTATACTTATGGTTATTTCCTTTTTTTTGTTGGGTACTTTGCTTGAGTGAGTATTTCGTTAAATATTTAGTAAATATGTTTCGCTTTCAACCATTGCTATTTAACTTCTCAAAACAATATTTTTTCAGTTCACAATTTCTACGAAATGTTTAATTGAATGATGATTAAATACATTTTTGCGTTAAGGAATTCAAAATATTGAAATGTTATAATTCAATAAAAGTACATGAAACTCAATAAATTATTTGAACAAAAAATACTCAACAAGTCCTCAAAATTCAAATTATTTAAGAATCATGTTATAATAGTATATTATCCATCAAATGCTCTTTTAAAAAATATTTAAAAAAAATCTTATGCATACTAACACATTACCAATATTTTAAATTTTATTATTTAAAAATAATTTCACGGTAGTTTTTGTGTTTCACGTATTTTGATTAATTTTAATCATTTGGTTCTTTTTCTAGATTATTTTACGTTTTAGATTTATACCAGGGTCCATGGAGATTAAAAAAAATTATAGTTAAAATTATATAAACTAAATATCGTTTAAATAAAATGCCTTTCATATGTTTTGTAAGTGATTGAGTTAAAATGTTTGATATCTAAAACATATTTTGGACTTTCAAAAGATAAATAGAAATAAATTAGTAGTGAATTATACATACTTTAATATAGGTACCTACTTGCTACTTACATATAGATAATTACTACTTTTTTGATCTTACACTGAAATTCAGCTGTTTAACTGATTTAATATTCTTTAATTACATTCTTAACTTGATTTTGAATATTTACATATAAAATACTATTAATATTTGATTTAAACGAATTATTAGTATTAATTTTATCAACTAAAATAATATCATCAAAAATAAAATATTTTGATTTTTTACTTTTTCTACGAGGAAGTTCTTTCTTCATTGATTTAAATGTAATTTATTTATAAAGTATGAAGTTCTTACTTGATAGTCATAGTTAATTATTTCATTAAAAATAACATAAAATTATATATTTAATTGCACAGAATCTATATTTAAAAAAAAAATCTGTTGTATTAAAAAGGATTTCTATAATTGTCTTGTTTCACTAATAAATTCTAAGAAACAACATTTTGTAAATTTTTAATTTAGTAACATTCAATCATTGTGTTTAGCATTAACTGAGCTTCTTCATGAATGTTTAGCATTAATAGAAAATTAATTGTCTCATCAGTTTCAATTGTCATCGTTGAACCATTGTGAATGTCTTATAGTTAGCAATTGGTTTGCTTTTATCTATCTTATACTTCTATTTTTGACGTTTCGTTGAATCACATTTAAAGTAAGATTCTGGAGATCTTATTAGTTTTGAATAAATACTAATTGAATGTGAATACCAAACGACTAACAGTTGAAACAACTTTTATTTTTATTTTTATTTTAAATATCAACATGTTCTACCATGTACAGTTGTGTAGTTCTTAAGTTATATAATAGATTGTTTAAAATGTGTACTATTATAGCAGTGTTACCAGACATTAATCATCGATCCCGTACTTAGAGCAAATTCAAAAGCGGAAAACGTTGATAACGTTTGATTATGGTTAAATTCTGGTAGTTTGTTTGCTAGACAGCAGAGTTATTTAGTTCCAATTACTAAAGTTGCAATTCGGTGATAATGATATGTTGTCAAAATTTTAAATTGTTACTATAATAATAGTATAAATTTTAGCGCACATTAGAGTCAAATTTTTATTGCTAGATTTAATATTAAAGTTTTATTAATTCATAATGTAGATAGTGAATTTTATATATAATCAATTTTACTTTAGTCATTTAATGTTAGTTAATTTGATTTTTATCAAATTTAATTATAAATTTATTATTTATTTCTCTCACCTATTTTTTATATTTTAATAGTATTAAACTATTTATGATCACTTTAAAATTATAAATTTTAATAACGTTCTCTTAATACAGCTAAGAAAACGGACAGCATGTATGTTTAAGCGACACACGCAATAATTGATTTTTTTTTTATTGTATAGTTTTATTTTCAACGTATCAATAAATGTCATGATACGTTTAAGATCTTTAAATCAGATTTAAATCACTCGTGGAGTATATTTTTCAAAAATTTTATTTATATTTAATATAACAAGAATATTTGTGCACTAATTTATTTGTTTGAAATGTATTTTAATATTTAGCTAAATTATGCAGATTATATGATTGAAAATTTTTTTGTTGCAGACAAAGAAGACAACAAGGGTCAACATTAAAAAATGTTACCCCGTTAACTACCGCTTACAGATCTCCAGTAAACGTTTATGGCTTACGGGTGGAATATTCGGATGCAGCAATAGACTACAATGAGGAAGGAGTACCACAGTTATTAGTTCAACGAACTGCATTATTTCGTTTGTTTGGTAGTGATTGGACTAATAAAACAATATTTGTTCTTACGGAAAAAGTTGGTGATAGAGGTGGTCCGTGTGAGTTTCCCGTTGGAGAGATTGAAGAAGTACGTAGTATAATTTTTAATAATTTACTATTATATTTAATAAAGTATATACGACTATGTGTTCTATATTTAATATATATATATATATTTTTTTTTTTTAAATAATTTGTGAATTCAAAAATTATCTATATCTGTCACGTAGATTCTTATTTCCTATTTAGAGGCACATTATACATATATTTTTATTACTATTATTGGTTTTTTATGAGAGAGTACTTTATCTAAATAATTTTTGCATCAAGATTTTATTATTTACATAAAATCAGAGTTTTGATTTTAGATACATAAGTACTAAAATTTAACCTATTTACATTAATATTTATTATAGTATTAAAACAAAAAATATACTTCAAATACTAGTATTTGTAATTATTTTTTTTTTATTCAAGTACAATCAATTTTGTAATTTCAGGTATTAAAACTTGAAATTGTATCCCACTTTTATTACTTAATTATTCCATGTATGCTTAAACATATATTTATGAATTCAATTTTGTAAGTAATTGTTTATTAATTATCATTATAGTTGCAAAAAAATGATTCTATGATAAATTGATAATATCTCATTCCTATAGTGCTCTCCTAATGTGTAAATAAAATCTGATTTTTTAAAACCACTTTTCAATAAAATGCTTATATATTTTTTCATTAAAATTTTCAGGTAACTGTTTTTCAAAACAAGCCAAATACAGTCCAAATAAATATAACTTTGCCGCAAGCCAGTAAAGCCGGTACGGTATTCTATTTCTGTTCAAAAGAGAGCGATAAGACTGACGCGATTTGGACACATATGGGTAGCGAATATTATAAACAAATGGGAGTGTACGAAAAAATGCTTCCTTTCTGGCTGCAGGTTGCTATAATTCTCACGTGTCTTTCTTTCTCGTCTCTTTTCTCCGGTCTAAACTTGGGTCTAATGTCATTGAATCGAATGGACTTGAAGATCATTTGCAATACGGGCACAGACGCAGAGCGAAAGTACGCCAAAGCTATTTTACCTGTGCGTATTCACGGTAACTACTTGTTATGTAGTATTTTGTTGGGTAACGTCATGGTCAACTCGATATTTACCATTCTGTTGGATGACTTGACGTCCGGCTTAGTGGCCGTCATTACTTCTACATTGGCTATTGTAATCTTCGGTGAAATTACTCCACAAGCTGTTTGTTCACGTCACGGATTAGCTATTGGTGCTAAAACCATTTACGTCACGAAAACCGTAATGGTGCTTACTACCCCGCTATCTTGGCCCATTAGTAAGGCTTTAGATTGGGCGCTCGGCGAAGAAATCGGTAGCACTTATAACAGGGAACGTCTCAAAGAATTAGTCAAGGTTAGTGATAATTATTTTCTACTATATATAGGTTTAAATTGCGTATATAGTTTTAAATCTCAATTTTATAAAGATTTAAATATGCAAAATAACTTAATGTGCAGAAATAAGATAAAATTAACTTGCCTGGTTTTATTTTTCAACTTAATTTATAAGTATACTAACAGATCAATGAAATATCCATCTTACTTATTTTTATTAGTTTTTAATTTAAAACTAATTAAATTTCGAATAAAAACGTAAGTATATATATATGTATACCTAGGTGAGTTTTAGTTGTTTATTTTTTATAAAAATAGTTCTATAATTACGTTATATTTCATTAATTAAATTTTTTGGTTTATTTCATTGGTAAGACTAAATAATGAAATCAATTGTTTTAAGAAATCCACCGTATCTGTCTCATTCAGTTCAAATTTAATTAATATTTAATTAATGGCGATAAATTTTACAGTTTTTGTACTATATATTAAAAAAAGGCGGACTTAAATCATACGTTATAATGATTTTTATTATTCAAAAACGAATATTAAATAAAAACTAAAATTATTTCGATAAAGAATGTTGGTACCTCCTACTAATTAGTTGATTTAATATTTTGAACTGCTGATTAAATTTAATAAATTTTATCTACCTACTATATTACTTCATGAACATTTTATCGAAATTGTGTTGATATAATTTTATTGTGTATAGGTATATTATTTTACTATGTTAGTGGTAGTACGTAATTTAAATACATTTTATTTTCCCATTTTCCAATTTTTATTAAAGTTAACATCATATTAATTAACTATTGTTCAAGTTTAGTTTTAAACATACTCGTATATTTAAAATAGTTTTATAATAATAAAATTAACGACTGATTTTTTTTTTAAATTATTAATAAATTTAATGTTTAACCATATTTTTACTAGTAATTAACAATTCTAAAGATGAATTATTTCCGTTTAAAAAGTATCTTAGAAAATATTTACGAGGTTTTAATTGTTAAATATTGAAAAAATGCATGCTAATAGCTTATAATACTAATTTAATTTTACATCAAACAAAACGTAGTGTACAGTGTAAGTGTACACAATATATACATCAACAAAAAATATACACGAACTGAAAATTCATAATACATGGCATTTTGTATGGATTTCAGTTTTGATAACATTAATTTGTTTAGCAATCAGATTATTGAAAATAAAGTATTGATTAAAAAAAAAAAATAACTCAGCTTATAATACTATTTAATATAAAAAATGAATTAATTATGCATGAAAAATTATAAACTTAATATCTTTATACAATTATATGAGTAAGTATACTTGCAATCATTTTAATGAACAATGGACTGTTAGTTTGAAGTTTATTGTCCGGCTTGCATTTATAAATCAAAAAATTAAGTACATAAACTAAATTAAAAAATATTTAATTTTTAATAGTCAATCTCTCAATATTTCAGTCGATATTTTCATTTAAAATTGTTATTTGTATTTAAATGTTTATTATTTGAATAATAATAATTATAATAATAAATGAACTCGTGTCTTTTGAATAGTAAGTTGTTAATGAAATTCGTCATCGAGAAGGTTATTGTAAAATTGCTGTGTTACATTTGTATTCCGTGATAAATTACTATTTAGAGTATAGGTATCTAATTATGAAAAAAACAAGTTTGTAGAGCGAAAAAAAAATGTGTAAATCATTATCTATAACTAAAGATAGCTTATGTAATATTATATTTATATTATTATTATTATTTTCTTAATTTAGTAGGTTGAACTAATTTTTGTCAAAAATATCGCATAACTTACATAACTTAACATCTATTAAATATTTTATATTTTTGTAGCTAATTATAGATATTTATCATATTGAACTTTTTATACAATTTTTATAAAAATAAAAATAAAAATTAAGTCAAAGCTCAAAAAAATAGTACAAGGGACCTTATAAGTTATTTTTATAGTAGTAAAAAGTTAAAAAATATTAAAAATCATCAATCATTACACTTTTATGAGCAGGGTTAAAGTTCAAATATTTTTTTAAATTATTCATTTTAAAGTAAAATCGTGGTTTTTCTTTTATTTTAAGTAGTAACAATCCTCAATGATAAAGATTGTTTACTCTAAAACTTGGTAGTAGAAACACATATAAATAAATATAAATCAAGAAAATATAACAAACACATCATGAAATTATTTTATTGTTTTTCCTGTTTAAAACCGAATATATAGGAAACTGTGATTGGGTTTGGAGACGCTGTATGTCTTCATTAATTCGTTCAACCATGATTCATGAGAAAAAAAGCCTTATTATTTTTTATATCGTATTATGAGGTAAAATATTAATAATTTAGAGTTGTCGTATTGAAAAAATATTTGAATTTTTAGTACTAGGAAAACTGTTTTAATATTATGTTCTTTTAGATTAATTTTTATAACTCAATTATTTTCGTTTATAATGGAAATACTTTTATATTTAATGTATAATGAAATTTCCTGCTAAAAAAAAAAACTAACCTTTTGCACACGCATAATATTTGCTTATATATTAACTTAATTGTTGCACTTAAAACGTATATTCTATTGTTTTAAAACATAATAAAAAATAAATAAAAAGAAACCTTTGTTATTAAAGTTATATTTCATTTAAATATATCTTATATAGGTAATATGTATGTAAAATAATTTTTAAATATTCAATAGAATTTTAGATTGGAAACATTTTCATAATCCGAGTTTTGAACTATTTCGATTGCAAACACGTCCTTTTTTTCTAATGTATAGTTTTCTTTGTATCTTTAATAAAATGCAGTTAGGATTTTATAAAAAAATTTGAGAGGAAAATGTCATTAAAAATTAAAGTAGTCAGAGTATTATAATATGATCTGCATAATCTATGACCTTTATAACTATTGAAACATATAACTTACATGTATTCATTTATTGTTTTTAAAGATTTTTAAATAAGATAAGTTATAAGTATAAGTTATTTTTAGTTTATCGTTTTTTTTTTTAAACATACTTAAACTTATTTAAACAATTAAAAAATATATTTCATTAAAAGTGTCGGTAAAATTATTTTATTTCATTGATAGTAGATGAATCTTAAATTTTAATAGAATCTTGTAAACAACGTTTACCTATTTACCTGATTTTGAATATGCAAGTAATTTAAAATGTTAATTAGCATTGTCAAATTTGATATAAATCTTTGAAATCGTTTAGATATATTTAACAAAATAATTTTAAATGTTAGAGTTTGTTTTTTAGTTGAAAATATAAATAAATATGAAATTAAGTATTATAGGAGTATAGTCTGTGAAAATAATGATCATAAATGCACTATTATATTTTTTTTTACGTTTTGTGATATAAAACCGTAACTCGCAAATAAATAAATATCTTACGTAACAGTTCAGCTGCGTTTCTTATGCCAATAACTTTTTTTCCCATAGTCAAAATTGTGAACGACCTCAAATATCTATAATTATTTTATATATGTTTTTACTTGAATACACCGTTTCATAATTTTTAATCATCAAGTCTTTTTTAACATATCTACAAGTATATAATGTATTATATCATTATTATTATTATTATTATTCCATATAAAACATACATACAAGGATAAAGTTACACATAGAATAAGTAAAATAAAATGTTAATGAGTTTGCCTTTTTTATATATCAACGGTATCGTATATGGTGATAAGTTATATTTCATGAATAATTTGCTTTTTTTGATAAGTTTATTTAAATATTATCATTCATACTTTCGTTTAATATTATATTATTATCTAATTAAAAGTTTTTATTATTTAGGTTTCATATACATTTATGTATATAGTTATTTTCTTTTACTTATAGTTTTTAATAGAATTAATTTTTATATTATGTAATATAAACTAAGTTGAAAAATTGTAATGTCAACATTTATTCGAATCGTAAAACATCTCTTTATAATATTGGATTCAAAAAATAGTTTAATACTTACTAAATTTAAAAAATATGAGCGTTGTTGTAAAACAAAGAAAATAATAATTTTAAAATATTCAAGTTAAAAAGACATTTTTAGGTAATTTCCGATTTGTTATTACTTTATTAGTTATTACATAGATAATTGTTAATTCAAAAAATAATATTTTATATTAATATTTTTTAGTACCTACGTCTTGATAATAGAAAATATTTCTGGTTGGTGTTTAATTATGTATGTATAATTAAATATATGTTGTAAAATACCTTTTAATACCTTAATATACATTATATTAAGTACATTAAAAACAAAAAAACAAAAACGCCAAACTTTTCAACTATAAGTTATTCTAGTATAAATTATTATTTTGAAAGAATGATAAATTATATTTAGGTCTTATATAATAAAGTAAACTATAGATAATAGAACCTAAATTATTTTTATTTAATGAACAGTATTTAATTAAATTAACTTAATTATTAATTTTTGTAAAAATAAATATCAATATATTTAACTTCAATATTAAACTAATTTAAATAATATTCAACTTTTAAATTGGTATAATTTAGAAAATAACTTGGTTATAATACAATATATATGTATTATATTTATATATTTTGGCAAATTAAATTGTTGTTATAAATTTATATTTACCTATTTAACTTACTAATTGACAAAAATCTCTGAATCGAGTTATGTATTTTTAGTAGTTTAATTTTCTAATTAAGAACCTTAAGATAATGCAGCCAATAGCTATTGGTGTAATATAATTTTTTGTTATGTGGTTACGGACTAGTTACATCTACAAAAATTTTTGTATTTTAAGACCTGTAGTGGATCAACGGCTTACTTTATACCTTACGGTTAGTAAACCAATATTTAGTTTTAACTTCAGATTTAAAAATTTTTTTTATCTAATCCTATTCCATTAAAATTTTACATAAACTATTTGTATTTAAATAATTTAAAATTAAAAACATTTATTATATTGGTCAATTGATCATTTAAGTGATTGGTTAAATATATTTT